TTGTACAGAACCCTTAAGGTTTCGTATTTTCTCACGGAACCTTTTTTGCTTTACATAACCTGAAAAAATGTTCTGTAAGAGATGGTTCTACGAGTGGGTAAAACACAGAAGCTTGAAAAGGTTCTGTAGAAATTTTTATCCTTTTTTTGAGACTTTGAACATATTTGGAGACTTTTCGAAATCTACAGAACCTTTTCGAAGCGTTCTGTGAAACTCCTTTTTTTTCAGAGTAACAAACTTACACGGTGAGTAGCTGAAATAGTTTGCATACTGCCACCTTTCTTCCTCATTCCAGTTTTACCACCAGCAGAACCACCTCCTTCTTCTTCAGCAACATCAGCAAACAAAGTACTTAACAATGCATTCTTCGATTTAGCAAAGAGAAGAGCACTAAAAAAAAGCAAACAAATAGTATGTTAAGTTAAATAAATATAAAAATAAAAACATACACAGTAGTATTAATAGGATCTTTGTTCTTTTCAAGCCAACCAGTTGCTGTATATGGTACACTACCGGCATAATGATGAATTTCAAAATGTGCTTCTGCTTTGCCTTTAGCTGGTTTTGGTTTACCAAATTGTGGATGTTTACCCAAATGATTATTATAAAGTTTTTCAACAAATGTTTTATCTGTTGCTTTTGGTACGATACATTCTTCTTCAAGAATGGATAAAATACCCATAGGCTAAAATGTAATCAATATATAAACATTGAAATGATAATAATATAAAAACTTTACTTTCTCAATGAGATCAATGCAAGCTTGTAAATCCATACCAAAATCAATAAATTCCCATTGAATACCTTCTTTCTTATATTCTTCCTGTTCTAAAACGAACATATGGTGATTGAAGAATTGTTGAAGACGTTCATTGGTATAATTGATACATAACTGTTCAAATCCATTGTACTAAAATTTGAATAATAAAAATAAAAAAATTTTTCAAAAAACATTTATTGAATATTTACATCGAAAATTTCAAAACCAGCAATATCAAGTACACCAATAAAGTACTGTCGTTTAGCTTTAACATCGAGTGTTACATTGACACGTTCAACCAACCAACAAAACATACGATAATAGATCTAAAAAATAATAAACAACAAATAAATTAATTATTTTAAAATATAATTTAATTAGAATTCATTAAAGAACATACCGATTTTGAAAGAGCACCAATTGAGTTTACAACTTGCTCTTTATTTTGTCCTTTGTTAACATATTCATTACCGACCTATACGTAAATTTAATATTAAATTAATAAAAATAAAAAAAAAACAGTATTTTACCTTAATACGTGGTTTGAGTAAACCTTTAATAAGTTCGGCTGCTTCAATATTGAGAAGATGTGCTACTTTCTCACACTCTTCGGTATTATCAGCTTCGGCTTGCTCTTCACGAGGTCGTTGTTTCCATTCAGTATTACCAAAATGCATAACTGCTGCTGTACATTTGTACATATTAAGTTTTTCTTCCTATTATTTAAAACAAAAACAAAATAATTCTTCTCTTTAGTTTTATCATTAAATTCTAAACAAACAAACCCGAGTAAAACCAAGAATATCAAAAGCTTCATCCGTAAGTTTCATTTCTTCAGCATCATCAACATTATCAATTGTTGTAACACCTTGAGATGAATAATGATATTTTGATACATCATTAACAAGAAGACATTCCTCTAAAAAAAATGAATATTTTCAATTTCATAGTTCAAATTTTCTTCACAAAAATCTCACTATGATATTCCGGAAAAGCATTTGAAGTTAATTGATAGAAAATATGATAGGTACGTTCAGCTACAATGAATAGTTAATTTAGAAAAAAAATGAAAGATAAAATTTCAAATCAATATAGTACCTGGTTGCTAAAAAGAAAAAAAAAATAATAATTTTCAATATGATTTTTCTATAATAATCATTCATACCTGAAAGATGACACGAGCTTTTTCAAGTAAATATACTTCAATATCAGCACCAGCAATTTTACCAGAATTACCGAAGTGAATTCGAATAAATTTACCCTGAAAAATAAAAAAAAATGTCTATGATTCTATTTCATCATTGAATAACAAACAAAATACATGCTTATAATAGAATATTTATTTTATATACAAAGTAATATTAATACTAACATGCAATAATTAAATAAAAAAATTCTTTTGTTTTAACTTACAAATCGTGATGAGTTGTTATTACGAGTTGTTTTAGCATTACCAAATGCTTCAAGTACAGGATTCGATTGAACAATTTGATCTTCGAGAGTCATTGATTTCTATAATAAGGAAAATATGCATTTATAAATATGTGTGGTTTTTTTTGTTGTCAAAACTACCGAATAGACGAAAGACAAAGGGTGACATAGAGTGAATCAAGACAATGTCGTGATTAGATTGGTTAACATCATAAAAAGAAATATCTTTAAGGTCTATCCATTTCTCCCTATCAGAAACTTATTTTTTGCCTAACTGAAAAAATAGATCTTTGCATGATAAAGATTTTGTGTTAGTTTTAAAATGCAACCAAAACTTGTTGCAACAATTTCAACTGAGATCAATATTTCAAAATATTGTTTCTATATTTTTGATAAAATCATTTCGATTTAATCAAAATATAATATCAAAACAATGACAATGATGTTTATGATTAAATTATTAGAAAAAAAAATGAATTCTTTTGTAGAATGATGAATATTCACCCATTGGATCTGAGCGACGAACATATTCGTCTTAAGAGAAAGTTCATTTTATGTAAAAAATTGACATATACTTTTTTTAATGTCATTTGATTGCCCATGTCAAACTGTGGTTCTGGTAAAATTTTTAGACTCCTGTGATGTAATTTCAACGAGCTATAGACATAAAAACATGATATTTCACCTATATCTTCGTCATTTTTCATTTGAACAATGTATCGTTCGAAAGAGCGTGCAAAACTGAACAAAACGCAGTTTCTATCTTTCTCAAAAAATTGAGTCTTCATATTGAAAATAATTTTTTCCTAAAAAGCTCTGAATTCTTTTCATTGTAAGTTCTTTTTCACTATGATAGTTATTTTAGGGAGCACTAAAATACAGTACATCTTGTAGATGATTTCACATTCTACA